AGGCCCCAGTGGCGGCGCTCACATGCGTCCCCGCCACACATCCCAGTACACCCCTCACGCGCTTCGTGGCCCCATAGGGAGCTCCACCGAAGGCCCCAGTAGCGGCGCTTACATGCGTCTCCGCCACCCATCCCGCCCCCCCCCCCCCCGCAGCAGCATCATGTTTCGGGGACCCATAGGGAGCTCCACTGGAGGCCCCAGTGGCGGCCCGCACATGCGTTTCCGCCACCCATGTCGGCACGCCCCGCGCGTGTTTCATGTCCCCATAGGGAGCTTCGCCGAATGCCCCAGTGGCACCCATCTCGGCACACCCCTCACACGTTCCGTAGTCCTATGGGGAGTTCCATTGAAGATGAAACCCGCAGCTGCGGTACTGACAATTGCATATGGTTGGGTTCTTCGCCAGGCTTTTTTTTCCCCAACCATCTTGTGGTTCTGGGTCCTCGTTTTGAAAAGACAGCGCCCCGCGTTCACTCCTTCCTTGCTTCCTTCCTTCCCCCCGCTGACCCCCCCCTCGTCACCGCGCCCAGTTCGGCGCACCCCTCGCGCGTTTCGTGGCCCCATAGGGAGCTCCACCGAAGGCACCAGCGGCTGCGTTCGCATGGCGGCGCCGCACCCATTTCGGCACACCCCTCACACGCTCCGTGGCCCCATAGGGAGCTCCACCGAAGGCCCCAGCGGCTGCGTTCGCATGGCGGCGCCGCACCCATTTCGGCACACCCCTTACACGCTTCGTGGCTCCATAGGGAGCTCCACCGAAGGCCCCAGTGGCTGCGTTCGCACGGCGGCGCCGCACCCATCTCGGCACACTCCTCACACGCTTCGCGGCCCCATAGGGAGCTCCACCGAAGGCCCCAGTGGCTGCGTTCGCATGGCGGGGCCGCACCTATTTCGGCACACCCCTCACACGTTTCGTGGCCCCATAGGGCGCTCCACAGAAGGCCCCAGTGGCTGCGTTCGCATGGCGGCGCCGCACCCAATTCGGCACACCCCTCACACGCTCCGTGGCCCCATAGGGAGCTCCACCGAAGGCACCAGCGGCTGCGTTCGCATGGCGGCGCCGCACCCATTTCGGCACACCCCTCACACGCTCCGTTGCCCAATAGGGAGCTCCACCGAAGGCCCCAGTGGCTGCGTTGGCACGGCGGCGCCGCACCCATTTCGGCACACCCCTCACGCGCTTTCGTGGCCCCATAGGGAGCTCAACCGAAGGCCCCAGTGGCCGCGTTCGCATGGCGGCGCCGCACCCAATTCGGCACACCCCTCACACGTTCGTGGCCCCATAGGGAGTTCCACCGACGGCCCCAGTGGTTGCTTTCGCATGGCGGCGCCGCACCCATTTCGGCACACCCCTCACATGCTTCGTGGCCCCATAGGGAGCTCCACCGAAGGCTCCTGTGGCTGCGTTGGCATGGCGGCGCCGCACACATTTCGGCACACCCCTCACACGTTTCGTGGCCCAATAGGGAGCTCCACCGAAGGCCCCAGTGGCTGCGTTCGCATGGCGGCGCCGCACCCATTTCGGCACACCCCTCACACGCTTCGTGGCCCCATAAGGCCCCAGTGGCTGCGTTCGCATGGCGGCGCCGCACACATTTCGGCACACCCCTCACACGCTTCGTGGCCCCATAGGGAGCTCCACCGACGGCCCCAGTGGTTGCGTTGGCATGGCGGCGCCGCACCCATTTCGGCACACCCTTCACACGCTTCGTGGCCCCATAGGGCGCTCCACCGAAGGCCCCAGTGGCTGCGTTCGCATGGCGGCGCCGCACACATTTCGGCACACCCCTTACACGTTTCGTGGCTCCATAAGGAGCTCAACCGAAGTTCCCAGTGGTTGCGTTGGCATGGCGGCGCCGCACCGAAGAAGATGTTCACTATTGCGGTACGCACAGCTGCATATGGTTGGGTCTTTCGCCAGGCTATGTTTGTTCTCCAGCTGCCTGGGGCCAAACTCGCCACCGCGCATGCGCAACCGCATAGCAGGCAGGAGGCTGAGCGCAGGAACGGCACACCATTCAGACTAGACGAGTAGTCAGATTTGGAGCGGGTCGCGGTCCCGTTTTCGTTTTCGCTCGCGCGGCAGGGAACAGGAGGGGGAGGGTGACGAAGACGAGGAGGAAGAGGAGGAGGAGGAGGAAGAGAGAGAGAGAGAGAGAGTTTGCGGATGTGGAGGGAAATGCTTTTTGGAGTCTTTTTGGGGCCCCCGCTGGCGCCTATGGAGGCCGCCTTCGGGGCCTGTCTAGGCCGCGCTGGTGCCCTGTTAGGGCGGCTCACGGCCGTCCTGGGGTTTCAAGGGCCCTTGGGTGATATTTGGACACTTCTGGACCAGCTTGGGGCCCTCTGGGGGATCTCTTGGGCTATATTGGAGGCGTTTTTGGAGAGTTGTTGTGTCGTCCTGGGCGGTCGGACATCCGAAAAGGCGAGAACCTCACACTCTGATGAACAATTGAGGAACATGATTGGTGTTGGCTTCCTCGGGGTCCCTCTTTGGTCGTCTTGGGAGGCTTCTTGATATGCCTTGAGGCTGGTTCGGGAGCCTGTTGAGCCGTCCTGTGCCATTTTGGTGTCAGCTTGGCTGCCTTGCAAACCGTCCTGGAGGATATGGGGCTCCCAAGAAGGCCTCCAAACATATCAAGAACCCCCCCAAGAGGTCTCCAAGGGGCCGTCCAAGAGAGCCAGGGGAGGCCAACATCATGAATGTTCCTAGGGTGTTTGAAAACCATGTTGAGGTTCTGGCATTGTTTGGTTTCCGACCTCCCAAGACAGCCCAAGAGACCTCTCTGGGCTGTCTTGTTGCTTGGGGCGCTTCAAGGCCGCCTTGGGGCCCTCAGAGGAGCCCCTTCGGTAATATGTGGGTCCTTTTGGCCGGAGTTGGGGCCCTCTTGGGGGCATCATGGGCTGTCTTGGCTGTCTTGGAGGCTTCTTGGGCCGTCTTGGGCGGTAGGAAACCCAAACAGGCGAGAACATCACAACATGTTCAACATCTTGCGAAAATCAATGGTTCAGGCCCCCTCGGGCTCTCCAGGAATGTCCCGTTGGAGCACTCTTGGCCCGTCTTGGGGGCCTCTTGGGCCGCCTCTTGGGTCGTCGTGAGGCTGTCTTGACGAGCTCTCGAGCTATTTTGGGCCATCTTGAGCAGTTTTGTTATCGTCTTGGCTGTCTTGGCTGCCGTCTTAGAGGCCATCTTGGCCGTCTGGAAACCGACAAGAGCGCTACGGAGCATTTTCAGGTGGGGTTGGTTCTTAACCCCGCGCGCGAACCAGGGAGTCGGCCCAGAAAAAAATCAAACAGATCCCAGAGAGACCACAGCAACTTTCAAACAAGCCAAATCCGTGCAGGCACGGTGGCGGGTACCCCACCACACATTTCTGGCGGTTTCTGATTTGGGATTTCTCCAGTGGCGCCCGTGCGCCGCGCTGCGCTCCTGTTCTCCGCGGAGGCGCTGCGTCGTCTGGCACCGCCCCAGCTTAACTCCGATAATCTCGGCGATGGTGGTGATGACTCCGCCCCGAGCGCCCCGCTGCGGTCCCCGCCGCGTGAGCGCGCCAGTCCCCTCCCCTCCTCCCGCGGCCGCAACTTTTCCCCGTCCTTTTCCTCTTGCATCCGGGCACTTCGCAATGTTGCCTCCCCGCTTGCTGAGCGCGCGTGCGAACTGTGTCTGCCGCGCTGCGACGGAAAACAAGCTGAGGATGTAGATGGGCTTCGCAGCGGGGCTGTCAAAACATAGCTCAGGACGAATAGTGGGTCCCAGGGGGCAGTCCTTGGTCTAAGTACGCGTCAGGACCCGCTGCCTTCGTGGCAGCAAAGGGGGGCGGAGGAGAGGAGGATGAGGAGGAGGAGGAGGAGGAAGATGAGGAGGAGGAGGCGAAGGAGGACGAGGATGAAACGGACGACGACGACGACGACGACAACGACGGCTGCGGCGAAGACGATGGCGAGGAGCAGCAGGAGTCGGGACGGACGAAGGAATCTGGGAAGCGGGGGGAGCAGGGCGGAAGAGACGAGATGCTGGTTTTGTCTTCCCGCACGGGGAGGCTCCTGGCCCACCATCATGCCAGGGAGAGGACTATTTTCCTCCATCCTCCTCCCTCATCCTTCTCCTCCCGTCCTTTCCCGTCCATCCACAACTACTCAAGATCAATTGCACTGTATAAGGTCCCTGGATGCTGTGAGTGTGTCCGGTCGCTTACCACACAGCATTGTCCCGAGTCGACTTTCGATATGGCACTTCGAATCGGAACATTCTTGGCCTTTCAACCAATTTTCCCGCTGCAGCCTTAGCCACATTTCAGGATCGGCGCTTTGCTCCAGTCGTTCAGAATGGCGCTCTCGCTTCAGCGCGGGACACGCTTCTGGGTCCGATTTCTTCTTCCTCCTTGTTGCCTCCCTCCCCCTCCGTTCCCCTCCTTCGCCTTCCTCTGGCCATCCCGCGCCTCCCGCCCGCCCTGTTCCTCCTGCTGCTACTGCTGCTGCTCCTCCTCCCCCTCCTCCTTCCTCATCTTCCCATTCCTCCTGCTCATCCTCCTGGTTATCCGAAAAATCCTCTTCCAGTATACACAGCCCCCAATTAAGGTTGCGCATCGCACGATGGGGTCACGTTGGGGGCCCAAACCCGCTAGGACACCCGTCGGCCGACAGAGACACATCAGTGCAATGGGAAGGGATAGGTGGGAGGAATTGGATGTCAGAAGTGGCACGAGCGAACATACCTTGCTCCTCCCACCTCCCTCCTCCCTCCTCTTCGCTCCCTGCCTGCGGGAATGGCCCATGAGGAGATTGCCTTCTGAGGCCACCCAGCTCCAATTTCTGCCGCGTGTTAGAGTTGACACACTCATGGATCCTGTGGTTAGTGCGTGCTTGCTTGCCTCGCTGCTACCGTCTCTTTTCTCGTGTCTCTCAGCGCTTCTACTCGCCATCCTCGGCTAAGCTTCTCCTGCTCGCTTCCAACGCCTCCCTCTCGCCCTCCCCCCCCCGTGGAGCCCTGGCCAGCCGACCAGGGCTGGAGCCGCCGTCCGGGCTGCAGCTGAAGCTCAAGGCCCTCGGCCTCGACCCTGACTGGCACCATACCCCGGGGGGCCCCGAAGGAGGCGATGTCGGGAGCCTTGAGATGGGGGTCAATGCAAACGGGGGTCAGCCAGAGCGCCGGATCTTGCAGGATCTTGCAGGGCCAAGGTCGCACTGACCCGGGTTTAGGTGCAGAATCCTGCAGGATCTTGCAGGATCCTTCGCATTGACCCGGGTTTGGGTGCAGGATCTTGCAGGATCTTGCAGGATTCTGCGAGGCCTGACTGACCCGGGTCTGGACTGACCCGGGTCAGAAGATCTCCGACGATGGGCCAGGGCGGTCGCCACGAAGAACGGGGGGCATCGGCTGCACGTGGGGGCGGCCCCGTGCCAGAGTTTCGGTGCGGGGCCGCTGCTTGGCATCGCTCGCACGTGTAAGTTTTTGCTCGGCGTGGACCATCGAAGAGCCCTGTGGGTCACCGTGCGAGGAAAGTCGCGCACGAAGCCGAGGAAAGCACAGAGAATGACGCACGAGCGGCGGCAAGGCTGGGGCATCTCGGGCGGACGGTACCGCGGTACCGCAGGGGGGGGGGGGGGGGGGGGCAATCGACGAGGGGGGTAATCGACTAGTTAGGGGGGGGGGGGGGGGGGCAATCGACGAGGGGGATGGAGGACTGCAGGAGGGTGGCCCCAGGCTGCCACCGCTGGCCCAGTAGGCACGCGCAGATGCGCAGGTGTCTTCGCCTCGCGCTCCTGGCATCGCTCGGGCGTGTGCACCTGTTCTCGGCGAGGGCCCTCGAGGAGCATCCTGGCTCATCCTGCGATAAGAGAGCGCACGAAACCGACGAATGCGCGAGGAATGGGCGTCCGAGCGATGGCACGGCAAAGGTGCAGGCTTCTCACTCCACGATGTTTGCCGCCCCATGCGCGAACACCCGAATCCCCCGATCGCCCACTGTGATGTGGTAGCAGCGGCCGGCACGTTTGGGGTTGGCCAGTTGGCCCCCTGACCGCGCGCCAAAAATCTGAATTGCCCAGGTTAATTATTGGGTGTAGCCGAAGGGCTAGTGGATCGAACTTTTAGGAAACCTTTGGTTCGATGCTATTGGTATGGCAGGAGTTCGTTGGCCTGGGTGGGTTCCTTCAACTAGACCGATGGTGCATTCGATGTGGTAGGAATCCTTGGATCGGATATGGTAGGAATCCTGTGTATCGATATGTTTGGATTAGGAGTATGTTGGATCGATGTTGAGGAAGAGGTATTCATTGATTTTTTTGGATCGGTGTTTTACGTTGGGTCCTGTCTGGTCCTTAGGGAGGTGCCCACTGAATCCGCTTCGAAATTTTGCCCAAGAGGCACCCCTGGACAGGTCCGGTATTGTTCAAGGCTCCTATGTGGAAGTTGTATTTGGAATGAAACATAGTATTCGGTTGCCCTAAAATTTCGAATTCCATGTGCCCGTGGCTGTCAAAGGAAGAGCTCATGATAGGATCTTTGTGCAGGCCCCCCAGATGGGTCCGAGCAGATGAAGTCGGAGGATCGAACCGCATCGCTATTGCATCACAGATGCCGCTCGATGTGGAGCCAGATCTTCTCCACGCCGACGGCGCAGATGCATCGGCGGTTCGGCGCGATCCTCCGACCCTATTTGCTCGGACCCCATCTAGGAGGCCGCTGGGAAGGCGCCCCCCAGGGCCCATTTCCACCAGGACCATTTTCCGAGGGGTGGGAACGGGATCGCGCCAGGTCCGCACCGCACGCGGCGGCGACGCAGGCGCGGGAGTTCAAGGCTGAACGCCTTTTTGGGGGCCTCTTCGGGAAACAACCCACGGATCGACGCCCATACGAAAGATGAGGTCGAGAGCCTCTGGGGACCTTACGGGGCCTTGGCACATGCGGCCCGTTCGCCAGCCTTCAATATGCTAGAGTCAGCACGGCTAGTCAGGATCTGCGTTTTTCCAAGGGTGCAGTCGTTACTCACGCTCCCCCCTCTTTTACCTTTTGCTGCTCCGCTTTTGCCCTCCACATGAGGGTTGGCGGAGCCATCTTAGCATCGTTGATGTCAGGTTGCAATTATTGCTGCTGTCATGTGAAGAAAGGTCGCGCCCGACTTCCTTTCCCCTTGTCGGGCCAGCCTACACATACCGAGTACATCAGATTCGCTGAACGGACGCCCTAGCCATGGCATCAAGTTGTTTTTTTCCCGAGGGTCATCTTGGAACCATGTTCAGAATATCATGTACAAACATATCCAAACAACGATCAACTGGATCTATATAGTGCCCGAATCCATGATGAGTCGGCCAAATGCGGGCATCAACCGGAAATTGCCCCACGAGATCACGAAGTTGCGCTTCCTGTTTGGAAGGTGGATGTACCAAGTAATGCAGAGCAGTGCCGCGGCTCAACAAGAATCCAACATATTGGTTTCGAACCCAAGTCGTTGATTGTTGCACGGGTTCCGACTCGCATCAGTCGCAGCATCTCAGCCAGAGTTTCCTTCTCGTTGTCGTCGGGAGATGCGCCGTCAGAAGGAGGCCCCGGCCGTCGCTACAAACCACGAGCGGGCGCAGACACGGCGGAGGTCGACGCCGAATGGTACTGGCCAAGCAGCTTGGACGAGCAACCATTGCCGTCTGGCGCCCACCAAATTTACGCGACACTCTTCGACTCTTCAGATAAAGGAACGGATGGCCACGTATCCGTCTCGTCGGAACAAGTGAGATCAGTCAAGTCGACTCTTCACCTGAATTGGGAACGGGCGTTGAGTCTCTTTCGGGGGGGGAATCCGAGGACCGCGGCCTCGCGTCGCCACCGACATCGGCTCGGGAACCGTCATCGACGCCCGTGCCATTTAACGATTGCGTCGCGGAAGCTTCGCGGGAAGACCTGCGAAGGGAAATGGCAGAGATGGTGGCCGGCACGCCTGCGGCCGCTCAGCAAAATGCCGAAGAGGCCGCCGGGTCGAGAGCACCCGCGGCGAAGCAGCCACGGGAGACCACGAGCCGACAAGGAGAACCAGGAGCTCGAAACGGGGGGCGGGCGGCCCAGGGAGCTGCGCTCCCGGGTCGCCCCCCCCGCCGGTCAGTCCGCAGAGGACTTCGCGCGCTGGGTCCCTGAACCGCAGCGCGGCGAGGGCCCCATCCCCCACGGTCGCTGTCCGCGGGCCAGGGGCGCGGGATCCGACCGACGCGGGACATCGAGGGCCCCGTCGGGCGCGTCGTCGTCCCCCACTCGCACGGCGCGCTCTAAAGCATCGAGTTTTCGCACCAATGAGTCGCGCGCCAACAGGGGCCCGGGGCGCGCGGCATTCCCTTGGCGGCGCTGATTGGGAAATCGACAACCGTGTAAGAAGGCAGTCTGTCGCGCGTGTTCGGTCAGTTGCCACCTGGGCAACTTCGCATTCCTTTTCCCGGAATGCCCCCCCCCCCCCGCGCGCGGCCGCGCGGCGCTGCGCGACTTCGAACGGGGCCGGGCCGAGGAGTGGAGGCCGCGGGCAATGGCTGAAGAAACGGGCCAGGAGATTGCGCAAATTAGAGACCAGACCACGATGGCCGAAGTTCAACTGCGCACAGCCGCTCGCGCCCAGGCCGAAAACGACCGCATCGCGACGACTCGCGCCATGGAGCACGCTGAGGAAAGGCAGCAGGCTGTCGCCTCAGGGCAGGCGATGCAAGCGTCCGCGGAGCTCCACGAGCTGGCCAGCAGCGAGATCGAGGCCTCGGCAGCCGCCGAGGAGCGCGCTCAAGCCCCCAAGCAGAGCGTCGCGGAGCATGCCGAGCGCGTCGCCCGGGGGGCTGGAGGTTGAGACTCAGCAGGCGACGATGGCCAGAATCGCTGAAGTGTCCCAGGCGGGCGAGGCGGGAAACGCTCTCCCGGGGGCGGAGGCGAAGGCGGCGGTTCGACGGGCTCGGCAGATCGATTGAGCAAGGCGTCGGCCGAGAGCGCAGGGGCGACGGGGTAGGCGCGAGGCGAGGTCAGCGATATCCGCCAACAGGCGCGAGCCATGGCCCAATCGGCAAGCGCGAACAGCGCCCGCGCTGCCGTCGAAGTTCGCGATGCACTGGGCAGAATTCAGCGGATAGAGCAGCAAGCGAATAACAAGGTGAACAGCACGGCTCTGGATGCCGAGATGAGAACACCACGGCGCGCGGAGAACGCGCACTAAGTTCGCGCGCGCGCCAGATGTCGGAGAAGCTAGCTTCCCGGATGAACCTTGGAGCGATTGCTGGCTACTGTCGCCGCGGTCAACGCGGCCCCTCCGCGGGCGGACGCGCCCGGGCCGGCCGCGCTCGCGCCGCGCCCGGGCGGGCCGCGGCGTCTCCCGCGCAGCGGCGCGGCGGGCCACGCTTGCGCGCGGCGCGCGAGGTCGACGCCCATTGCAATGCGACCGAACAGAAATGCGCCGCTTGCGTCGGCGATTCGGCGGAGAAGGACTGGGGGGGCGAGAAATCGAACGAGGGGAAAGAGGAATGGGAACGCGACGCGCCGGAAAAAAAGCCAGAGAAAGGATCGCCCCCAATTCGCGCTTGGAGCGGTGCCCATCGACTGCCCGCCGCCGCCCCAGGCGCCCCGCGACGGCGCCGCGAGCGACGCCGGGGCGCGCGGGCGAGCGGGGGGCAGATGATGACGCCCCCAGAGGACTGAAGGCTCTCGCAGACTCTGCCCGGGCCGAGCACCAGAGGCTCTCGGAGGCGCCCGCGGGGGCGACGCGGAAAGTGGAGGGCCGCGCCGAGGCGAATGCCAGGGTGCAGGAGTCGCGGGAGCTGCGCGCAGAGAAGCTCGCGGAGGCCGCCGCCGCCGCTGAGAAGCAGGCCCATGAAGAATATACCAAAGCCGTGGGGGAGGCAGAGCGCCGCTCGAAGCATGGGGGCGGGGGGAAGCGGAGCGCGCTCAGGCGCTCCTAGCCATTTCTGTCCCTGGCCCCGAGGAACCTGGCGGCGGCGACGGCGGCGGGCGCGGCGCCTTCCAAGGGGGGGCAGGGCGAGCCCGAGCCAGCCGCGGCAGCACGGGCCAAGCAGCATCGCGGGTCTGGCCCTCCAGACGATGATAACGACGATGATCGAGATG